ATGTTACTGTACAAAAGTTTTTAATGGTTGTCCTCATCTCTTTATAGAAACGAGACGAGACAGAGTCATAGAAGAGAAAAAGAGACAGATGAGACAACACCTTAGCCTGTCCCCAGTTTCAATAACTGATGGAAAGAGGAATCAATGCTTCACTGAAAGCAATAAACCGCAATTCCCCCATATAGCAAACCTTGCCCTTCGTGATCGTGAATCTTTGATGTGTATTTGGGTAATAATCTATATTTACTAATTGCTATGTTAAACATGGAGGTTAATACAACCGAAGGATTAGTAAACCAATATTAATCGAAAGGATTATCAAAACCTTAAGGCTCTATTTGGTTTAAAAAAAAAGTAGGAAAAGTAAAAAAAAATTATACCATATAAGTTTCTCTATCTTTTTTTTCAAACCAAACACAGCCTAAATATATACACACATGCTTCACTACAAATATAAAATTATATAGATGACGTGTAAATTGGGAGACAATCACAGTCACAGAAAGGAACAGGACTGGACAGAAGAAAATGCCCACTGAGAGAAAGGTTACGTCACGTTTTTGGACTTGAGCAACCAATCACTCCTTTTCCCTACCTTTTTTCTCTTAAACCAAACACAGACCTTTGGATTTTGGGGGTGATCCGAGAATCCACAAACTCCGTTTGGTTTATTAAAAAAAATAAGAAAAAATAAAATAAAAAGTTGAATGAGTGTTTTTTAATGATAGAATTCAACTATGATTCATTTGAAATATTTGTTGCACATTAAATTAAATTTTCAATGAATTATGTTAAAGATTTTACATGATTTATTTACTTTTCATTTGGTTAGGTAAATTTAGGGGTGTCGATTGGACTGGATTTGGTCCAATCTGGTCCAATCCAATGTGAATCCATTACAAATGGGCCATGTCCAATCCAATCCATTGAATATTTTGAAATTTGGACCAGTCCAATCTTTTTAAATTTGTTTAAATTTAGATTAATTCTAACCCAAGCCTGATCCATTGACACTTATATTTTTATCTTCTATCAATGAAGTAGATATTGACTAAATTCAACCCAATCCAAAATAAATTCATTATGGATGGACCGGGTCCAATCCAATCCGATAAATACTTTGGACCATTTTAGTACATCTGGACTGGTACATTTCATATGTCTTGTTGGTCCATCCAATCCATCCAAATTGAATTTGGTTTAAAATGGGGTCCAATCCAAAACCAATCCATTGATACCCCTAGGTATATTTTCACATTTCACAAAATGTATTTATCAATTATCATAAAATACTAACAACGATTAAAAATGTCATCATAACGTGTCACTTTGTCAATGGTCTATTCATATTTGAATTATGTTATAGCAACTTTTATAAAACGCACCATAGTTTTTACGTCTAGTGATCATACAGGTAGGTAGGTGAAATGATCAGTCAAGCGTCCCTACAAAATAGGAGCTCAAATTGGCGCCCAACAGCACATCTCGACCATATATTGAGAACATTTCCCAATGACTAATATGGTGTTTCAAATCCAAGCTGAGATGTGCATGTGGGGCGCCTATGGTATTTAGCATGTGCCACATGTAAGTTTATTTAAAATAATTCCTAATCTAATTACCTAAAAGTATTCTTAAATATCTCTCCAAAAATATCTCTATCTCCTAAATTATTATGTTAAATTATATTAAATCCCCCATCTTATCCAAAATCACTCTCTCAATTTAACGTCTCTCTCTCTCATCACATGAGTCCATTATTTCTCTCCCTCACTCACTCGCTATTATTAATTATTTTTAAATAAATGTAATGTATGCAAAACTAATTATTATATTAAGTGGATCTAATTTGTTTAACATAACAGTTAGATAAATTAGTTAATTTATTAAAGTTAACTTAATTGATCAATTAAATTAGCTTAGTCAAGTTAAACTAACTAACAAAACCAAACAAACATATACATAATACAACATAATTTAGTTAATTGCTATATCCTATACCCACTAGGTATTTGGCCTCTTCGACTTGATTGAGGGATGGGATTGCTCTCGCATAGACAAGGACGAGGGCAAGGGATTATTGAGATACTTGATCGAGGATAGGGATGAAGATGGGGAGTGAAGTCTAGTTAGCCCTAATTAGGAACTAGTTGGAACAAATTGGTAATTTTTTTTAAAAGTTCTAAGTAATTACAATAATATCAATACATATATTGGACAATTTTCTATGCTATCTTGGATTATTGGTGATTGATGATAATAGTTAAGTGCTAAATCAATTTAGATTACTAAATTTTTCTCTATTTTAAGTAATTTTTTTTCTAAAGCAAAAATGGGGGAGCTTGTCTTGGCAAGGATTTATATATCGATGCGGTACGTTCAATATGATATGGGGATATGATATCGGTATTGGCCAGAGGAGATATGGGATACGCTACGAGTAAACCCGTATCCCCTGAATCGTATGTATCAGAGCAGTACGCCATTATCGTGATGTGTCGGAGCGATATGCACCGATACTACCAATACGGATCGGCGTTTTCTCGCGCGTTGCGCCTGGCGTGAATCGAACACAAACCTTCCCGTGCCAAGGCCTTAAACGTGCATTTGAACCATTAAGCCACTTTTCATCTTATGAAGTCTAATAAAATAAAATAATTTCTTTCTATTCTAGTATCCACATGTAATGCAAAAATGTTACATTTTTGTTTAACAATTCCAACAAAATAAAAAATAATATTTTATAAACTAATAGAATAAATAATTTCTTAAATCCACATTTATATAAAAAATGTATTTAATCTTAAGAAATTTATACGAAAAATATATTAATAATAGAAAAATTATTTTAGTACTTAATATTTATAAATTTGAACATGACATGTAACTTAAAATCTTATAAATTATTAATTAATATTTTAATTTGAACTAAATAAAAGTATATATATTATTTATAAAAATAAAAATATTATTTAAAAAATCCTCGGGAATATAATATAAATTGAATTTGTCAAATCCATTAATCTACATTTATATCAAAAAATGATTTATTATCTCAAAATTTACGAAAATAAAAACATTACTAACGGAATAATTATTTTAGCAGTTAAAAATTATGAATTTGCATATGATATGTATCTTAGAAATTTTAATATATTTGATATACTTTAGGTTAATATTATATATTATTATAAAATTTTAATTACAATTTATTATAACGTGTTTATTGTTTACAAAAATAAAAATATTGTTAACTAAACATTTGAGAATTAATTTTTAGTTGATTTTTAGTTAATATTAAAAATTAAAAATATTGAAATAGAAAATAATCAACATAATAATTCACATATAATAGTTGCATATATTTTGTGCCTTGAAATTCAATAGAATAACGTGTTTGTTGTTTCCAAGATTCTTGGTTGATACAATATCAATAAAATTTTATGATTTCTATGCATCCCGTTTTATTAATTGTAGTATATTTCTTCACATATACCTTTAGAATATACATTTTGTATGTGTCTATACATTAATTATAGTTATTTTGATCTTAAAAATAATGTTATTAATATGTATTTTTTGGCGTATCCATATTTTTTGTTCGTATTCATGTGTTTTCAAAGCGTATCTGTATTTGTATCTATATTCGAGTGGTCTAATACGATACTTTAATCCTTGAATGGAGGTTCATTTTTCTACTTAATAGAGAATGGAAACATGAATGGAGAGTCCTCCCAACCTCACATATAGAGAGTATGGAGTCTGACTTCGGTCAAGGCAAAGCCCGTTCCAACAGCCTTTACAGCCTTGCATTAGAAATATCTTTGTAGTTATCTGATTTATTTCATGGGAGATATTCACAATGCAAGATTGCAAGGGGCTGCTCGAAGGGTGTGAGCACCGACTTGCCCTGATAAAAGCCGAACTCGAGAGTGTGGTCCACACCTTAAGCTTGCTCTTCCTAAATTCCACCATATAAATATATTAAATTATCAAAAGGTTAGATATGTAATATTAGCAAAAAATTAACAATTAATAGTATATAATACTAAGACATAAATTTAGCCACAATAAAATTATACTAAGATAAATTAAGAAAGTTAAAATAAGTATTTTAATAGATAATATCAATATTTCATTAGATGTTTTAAATTAGTCATTTAATTTGAAAATATGATTTATAAACAACACCTATATTCAAATTCCATTCAAAATAAATGAAAATGAACATAATCAAATGAAAACGAGTAAAACTCAAAAACAAATTTATCTAAGAAAAATTAAAATTCATTTAGATTTCGTTTAAAATAACATAAATTAACAATAATTTATGTAATCATAATAAAAATCAATAAACATTAATAAAAAATTAATACAAATTTGTTTAACAATATATAACCCAAAAATAATGCTTGGGTTAGAATTAGCTTGGCTTTGCCCAATTAAAAATGTCACAATAGTCGTTTTGCTTGGATTTTATTTAACAAAGGCCGTGCATCACACAAGGCCCCGCTAGATTGGATAGGTCAATTTAATTAACATAGCTTAATTAGTTATATTAATGTGGTTTATATTAAAGTATACTTACATGTAGTTAAGTTAATTTGTATATTGATTTAGTTTAGATTAATAGTGATCAAAGATAAAAAAAACTTTGACATTAATAAATACTTAGTAAATATAATATCCTAGATTAATTGTTAATAATATATAAGTTATATTTTTAATAATAGTAAATTAATTAATTAACTAATTTAAATTAATCAATTATTTATTTAAATATTTGTAATACTTAAAATACTTTACTTTATTCCGGGGTAATGATATAATGTTTGGAACCTTGGATTTCTTTTCTTTTTTTTGATAGAAACCTTGGATTTCTTTTTAATAAACCTGTGCATCGCACGTGCCGGAAAGTAATCATGAGTAGAGCAAAGTTAAATTTTCAGAAAAGAATGACACGTGGAATAAAAGATAAGAGGAGAGGAAGAGCTGGTCTTGGCCCGCGAAATCTCGGGGGAGAATGTAAATAGAAGGAAAGAATTGAATCCGACGACGACGGGTTGCTGGATCTATCGGCTCGTCTCTTTCTCTCTCTTCTCCATCTGGTTTGAATTGGCAGCAATTTTTGTTATTATTGGTGTCGTTATTGGCAATTGATGGAATTGTTGTTGCAGAAGGGGGAGACGATCTTCGATCCATCTCTTCTGCAACAACGGCTTCTTGTGCTGGATTCGTGCTGTAATACGATCCATTGTCTCGCTTGCTTCAGGTCTCTTCCTCGCTCTCCCTGGAATTTGTCGCTTTTTCTCTTTTTCTCATACTCAGAGGGATCCCTGTATTGGCATAATGGCATTTACGTCTATGTGCTTTTACTGAATTTCTCACCTAATCTTAAGCTCTTTAGTCTTTTCCATACTCTCTTTCTTTCTCTCTGGCGTCTTCGTGTGTGTCTGGTGATTTTATTTCACTGTATTTGTTTTGTCCGTTTGTTTTCGTTTAATTTGTCTTTGCTTAATAGAATATTCTGCTTGTTTTCATGTTTTTCTTTTCTCGGGGATTGATTGCATGCCCATGCAATTCCTCCCCCGCTTAGCCTATGTTGTTGACATCTTGAAAATTGATTCTGTTTAAGAAATTTCTGACCTCTAAATTTTGATTTGTCGCATGTATGTCCAATTCGCAGAACTTTGTCAGTTTCTGTCGTCGCCAATTCCGAAATATGAAATAGAGTTACGCGAATTAAATTCCTCTCTTTTATTCGTTTTTTTTTTTTAAATTGAACGAATATTTAAATCACATTCGCCATTACTACATTTTAATTTCAGCTTCATTCTGATATTTCTAAATTCGTGTAGATATTTTTTTATCTTATTTTCATGTTTCCACGTGGAGCCATTGCCGTCTTTTTCTTTATTCGCCGTCCAGATATTTGATTCTTTGAAAGTCAGAAGAATATATTCATTTCCTTCTTATTTCAACAAGTTCACTTTCAGTATAACAGAAAATTCTTACCTTTCTTTTTGGGTTTAGAAATTAGCATAACGCTTCTGCATAATTTTCTGTTTCAAAACTATGGGTATCAGTAATCACTTCTTCACGATTCACGTTAATCCGTAAATTCTAATTTGAACTTCATCGGTTATTACAATCTGTCTGATACCTCATGGTCCTTATCTACAGGTTTATTTCTGGAGGTGAAATGCTGGTTTTTGCTCCAAATTACATGCTTCAGGCATGATTTTGATGATCTCGGTAAATTCCGAACTGCGTTGTCAACTTTTTTTCCTCTGCTCACTAATCTGCTTCCATGGTTCTTACAATTACCATGGAAGAGATAGAAACAATTACCAAATACAACCACGCAATTAAACTTATGTTGGGTGGAAAGCCCGACATGCAGGAAGAGATAGAAACCCATCTGCCAGGCTTGTGTTCGCACCAGATCCGGACTCGCTAGGCTAAGCGTTACCGACCCCACAGCTCCCTAGTCGCTGTAAAAGGTTAATAATAATATGGTCCAGGTTTAAGTACAGTGGTGGTCCAGGTTCATATGAACCTCAGTCACAGCACCTCAGGGTCTACATTCAGTGTTTCCTAGATCAACAAAAATGATTTTCTTCTTTTTTTTTTTCTCTTTCCCTTATGATATGGCATGCATAGGAGGTGACTTGGGTCTCGCCAGTTACCAACAACATTATTTTGTACTCTCTCTGTCTCTCTCTGTATTTGTTGGCTGGAAAAACGTGCAAGCATATCTAGCCTGCAAATTGGATTTACAAAGCTAAAGATGCTGAGCTCCTATTTTTGGGCAAATCCATGGCAGGTCCCTTGTGTTCCTGCAGTTAATGCGCTTTGTACCAGCCTATGAACTGAGGGTTGCATCTCATATGAAGAGAATTTCTCTGGCTATTGAGATTTTATAAACTAAGCCATCAGAATGGGTGGCTGTGTATCAACGCCAAACAAAAGAACTAGACCACGAAGGAAGCAGAGCCGCAGATGTAACAAATTCCGTGTAAAGAATTCTGCTTTGGTCTCTGATATACCACAGAAACGGATTAATGATTCAGGAAATCATCTAACGGATTTTTCTGTAAGCGAGTTCGTTCATGTGAACTTTGAGAAGGGCCAAACAACTAAATGCAGGAGATCAGAAGTTTCCAATGCGACATTCCATCTCACCCAGTTACAATGGCACCACAGTCAAGTCGATCCAAATGGTACCTTTTCTCCCCTTATAACCATTTTCCCTGCCAGGAAATTTCTGGTGTCACAAAACAACCTGATTAGTCATCTATTCTCACATTTGCATGGTACTCTAAAAAGGAAAAAAAAGAATAGAAAGCGAATGATGAAGAAATCATTTGGTTGTATATGTAAACCATCCAGTCAGGTTGATTTTTGACTTAATGATTTCTGAAATCTGTAGGTGTAACACAGCACATTCTGTTTACTGAAGATAATTACTAGATTCATTGGTTGGCCTGAAAATACATTCATTTTACCACCAGATTTCATTATTGTCTCTGTTTAAATAATCTTGTACATTTTTATGTCAGTATCACAAACTTGAAAGTACGGTTTATCTCTTATTTTTTGTGGATCTAGGCATGAATTTTCTATAAATAACTAGTTTACAGTTTTTTTTTTAATGTATCTGGTTTTAGATTTCGTGTTTGGACAGAGTCACTGATGAAATTTTGGATATTTCTGGTGGATTTATTTCATCCACAATTTCGGGATTTTATCCATTTATTTACCCAAAAATCAAAATTTAAATATTATTAAAAATACTATGACTAATAATATTTTCAAAAATAATATAAAAATACTATTAGCATTGATAAAATAATTAAATTTCATCCAAATATTTCGGAAATTTTCTTTCATGGACTAAGAGTTTGAAATAACTGAAATTTCCAAAACTTAAAATCTGTACTCTTAATGCATATGGTTTTTCTTTTATACCGTGTCTTTAAACTTGATAAACTTTGAGAAATTTTATACTTGGCAGTGTTTGGACTAGAATGGAAGAGGAAATGTGTAGTAGGGATTAAAGCATTGGCTTTGTAGTTTAGTCCTGATAACGTAACTTGGGCAGAATCTTGAGGAAAACAGATATTTTTAGTTTTTTTTTTAATATTTTACCACTAGCAGATAGTGGGTCATTCTCATTTTCTCCTTTCAGCTTTGTTTCGTATGTTTCCACTTGTGTCCTTAAAATTTTCTTTTCTTTTCTTTTTGGCTTTGTTTTGTTTGTTTTGGTATAACATATTACACATTACAGAGGGGATTAATGGGTGGGGACAGAGCAGGGTGCACGTGTGGTCCACTGACCTTACCATGGAAAGCCTGCCACTTTGCGGGTTTTATCCTGCGCCTCCATACATGGAGGGATGCTGAGTGACCATCTCAGCTACTGGATCATCGGCACCTGTGTCCTAAATTCAGACAGTCTTGAGGAAAAATTGAGTTCACAGTAAGTCTTCCAATTTCTCATTTCATAAACCTTCCTATCAGCATTAAAAGGTACAATTTCCCATTGTTATTGTGGCATTGCTATTTTTGTATTTCCAATTTGTTGTAAAAGAGGATCGTGGGAACCACATAGTTTGTAGAACCATATTGAGTTATTGTCTTCTCCTTATATGGAATGTTTAATTTGGCATAATGGAGTGAAATGCAATATTAATGACACACAAATACATGTAAATGAAAAATGTTCAGTTTTACATCATAAGTATGTTGTACAGTTTTCACAGTAGTCATTATCTTAAAGTTCTTTCCACGCTGAGCTACTTTCTTTTACTGGTTGCAAGTGCCTTGAGAATTCACTATAGAAATTTGTTTGTTTGCAGTTATTTGCCAAGAAGATTCATGGTTTGATTCTGCCAGCATTCTTGAGTCCGATTCTGATGATGACTTCAGTAGTGTTCATGGAGGTAAGCACATTAACCTTTACCACAAGCATTTTAATTGAACTATGGAATCCAAGATAACTATCTAGTAAGACTTTGTGGACAGTTCACCAATAAACTGAACAAAAATTAACTCCACAGGATGATTTTAACCACCCTATTTGTTCTGTTCTTTGAACTGTGAGTATAATCTTCAGCATTCTACAAGTGGTCATTGTGTTGGACAGTTGTCTCCACTCAAGCTGACTGTTGTCTTAGATAGAATATCTAAATAATTTTAGAATGTGAAAATGATTTATCCATTTATGATTAATACTTCTCAGCTACATACATCTTGCAGACTGTTTTCCTTCTGTAGGCAATGCAATTGGGAATATCTCAAGTGCCAAATTACTTCAGTATGAAGCTGCATCCTGCTATGTTGATAACAGGTGCAAGTATGAGGAATTTTATGAAAGTTACTTGAAAATAGATGGGGGTAAAGCTGAGAAGTTCTTGAGCAAAGAAGAATGTAAGGATACAAAGGGATTTTCACTTTTAAGTGCCCAAGGTTATGGAAGTTTTAATGGTCTAAAATATAATAGACATGATTCTGAAGAGAAAACTCAAGAAAGTACCTTTAAATCTCGTTTACCTCGGTTACATCCTTCTGTTAGTTTCAATGATAAGAACCAACCTCCATCAAGTCCAAGTGCACAATCTCAGTGGAAGAAGTCAGCAGTTATCAGGCTTTCCTTCAAGAGGAAGTCCTATGATGGAGAGGAAAAGAGTGAAAGTTGTAAGTACAGAACTTCAAAATTTCACTTTTTATTTTATTACTTGGTGTAATGGTAAAATCTGTCTGTCAAGTGTGAATGCACAGATTCGAATCTGAGAGTGGCCAATTTGTGTGAAAAAATGCCAAAGGTTAGGACCGTAACCAGCCCACTGGTCCCAACTACATGGGGTCAGCTACATGAATCCTGTTATGCCATTCCCTTCTGTTCAGTGCCATAACCATTGTTAAATTATGAGCACTGCTTAAATCTTGACCTACTTGTAGAATTCTAGAGTTGATTAGATATGTTGTAATCTGTACAATTTCCCTCATGAAGCTGACATTATGCCAAAATCTTCTCTGATTTGATCACCGTAACACTAAAAATTAAAATCTTAATATTAGGGATGCAAACAGATTGTATTGGATTTGAATCAGGGTATATTTGAATCTGATGTCGGATTTGATCCGACACTGTTCATGTCGGATCCGATCCGATCTGATCCAAAGATTCGATTGGATCTGATAGGATTTGATCTGAATTCGAATCCTATCGGATCTTTCGATCTGATTTGATCTGACTTGTTTTCTTTAAGAAATAATAAATTATTGAAAGAAAAAAATTAAATATACCAATTTAAATAAAGAAAAAACAAAAAATACAAGTATTTTTTAATTATTCTCATCATATATATACATGTTTTTTATAAAAAAAAAATAATATAAAAATTTATAAAATACAATATAAATAATATTTTTATAAATAAATAACATATATGTATGTATTATATATAAATATATAACACATTGGATCGGATAGGGGTGATCCGAATTCAACCAAATAGGATCAGATCTCGGATCGGATCGCCGATCCATTTGCACCCCTACTTAATATTTATATTTCACAGTTACTTAAGAAATTGACAGAGTTCAGTGAAAAAATTGGAAGGAAAGGAGCATATTTCTTCATTAGGTAAACTTTTTTCTATTTAAAACATGGTTTTTTTCCTGGTAACTCAGAATTGAATTTTGCCATGTTTACATAGTATTTTGCTTCTTAATCAAGTGCTTAGTACATTGATTGGGACAAAGGCCTTGTTGGCATTTGCTTTTGGTCCTAGTTTAGCTTCTTGAGAAAATACTTAACAGTATTAGTCATATTCCCAAGGTGGCTCAAGAATTAAGATACAGAACAGTTTGTTCATCTGCTTTTGACCATTCAGATGTTTTATTTCTTTTCTTTTCTTTTATATCAGTTATGTAACCTATATCATGGTGATATTAGATCAACTCAAGATTTCTGATGATAAAATTAGAGGGTTGAAACTGTAAGTTTAACCTTTATGTTGAATACTATGTGAAGATAGTGACAAGGACTTTAGTATCTTGATGAGCAGAAGAATGAAAAAATAAACTAGAAAGAGAAGAAAAATAGTCCCAGGTAAATACCTCTTACAAGCTTAAATGAATCACAAAATAATAAAAATGATTCTTTGACTATGACCTAATTCTGATGTAGAAGAAATAGGAAACGGTTTCCAATTTCTCCTGTAACTAAAATGGAAAAGCAACTTAGAGGAAAAGCAAAGAAATTGAATACCTATAACCTGCAATGACAGAACTTGTAACTAGATACTTTGGTAACTTATCCTCTTCAGTTTCTACGAGAGTCTTTCTTATTTTTAGTTGTGATTAAATCACACCATTATCCCATTTTTCATTCCTTAAACTTGCCACCTTCTCCTGAATAGGTGGGAATTGCATTCAGGTTATTGCACATGCCACTATTCACAGAACTCTGATACCTAACTCTATAGTCTCTTCAGGATGCTCCAATTGATTTCTTAATTTTCTAAGTTGACACCTTTTGATGTCTTCTTTTTATCTTACAGGTGCTTCAAAGAGATTTGTATATCACCCCAAAGCAGGAATTTTGATTCCATGTTCAACTGCAGAGAAGTTAACTGTAGGAAGTTGGTCTGAAATTGCACCTTCAGGCTTTAAGCTTCGTGCGGAAACTTATTTTAGGCATGTATCTTTGACTTGATTTATACAATCATGTGGAAAACATTTAGACATTTGTAACAAGTACTGGTGGTTCTGTTTTGATTTATGGGTTTTACTTGTGTAAGGGTTACCTATCTTAACCTTGACAATCCATCATGCAGAGATAAGCGGAAGGCTCCTGCTCCAAATTACAGTCCATATACCCCAATTGGAGCTGATTTATTTGTGTGCTCAAGAAAGATAAACCACATTGCCCAGTATCTTGAACTTCCATCTGTGGAACCACATGACAAAGCACCCTCACTCCTGATCATTAATATTCAGGTACAATTTGTTTCTCCATTTTCTTCACATCCCTCCCTCTATCTTTCTATCTTTTTTTTTTCTTTTTTTTTTTGGGGGGGGGGGGGGGTGTTAATTAATTCTGAAAGTACCAAATCCTGAGTTTCATCTGATAATGTACTTTCTTGTTTCTTGTGGCAGCTGCCCACTTATCCAGCTGCCATGTTCCTGGGTGATGGTGATGGGGAAGGGATGAGCCTTGTATTATATTTCAAGGTATCAGAGAACTATGAGAAGATCTCTCCTCGTTTTCAGGAAAGCATCAAGGTAATTTTCTTTGACATTTGTTTCTTTTTTTTTAGCAAATGATTTGACATCTGTTTCTTGGGAGGCACAAATTACATCTTAGAGATTCACTATGGATGCCTTTTTAATGGAATATTACAAGAAACGACTGCTTCTGCTAATTTGTTTGTTTAATTTCTCGTCTCATCTTATATTTTCAGCTTAAATAACCCTTGTATTGCAGGAACCTATTCATATTCCTCACAATGAGTTTTACTTTTTATTTTGTTTGAAGTCTAGAATTCACCACAAAATGCAGCTTCTCTTTTATGAATTGTGTAGTTTTCTGGACGAAGATAACAGAATATTCATTAAAGATAAAAAGGTGTACATGAGAGGATGTACATGGTACACATAAAGAAGTGGCCCATCTCGAAAATATGGGAGCATGGACCTATAGATATACAAAGAAACCCTCTCAATCCTGGGCCCATCAAGCTCATCAACCATAGAATTCAGTTCCCTAGGGATTCATCTGAAATGGATTTATAAAATTGTTGCAATATCCCTAGATTCACTCAAAAAAAAAAGAGTCACTCTCCAGGGGCTGCTCTACTGTTTCTCAACCCATCTGATTGTGTTCACGGTATCCCCTTCCATGGATAGAAAGGAAAGGCCAAGCTGTTCCATTGGAATTTGTTCCCACACAGTGGATCAGGAGATGGTCAACTGATTCACTGTCTTAAAGGCACATAACACACACTGGGGGAATCCACTCCCTACCCAGCCTTTTTCTTTCTCTTATATCACATGTATTTGCTCTTCTAAGATTTACTTCCCAAATAAAGAAAGATATTCTGGCCGGAATATGTGGGTTCCATATAGTGTTGGCTAGAAATTTCTGGCATTTGGACCTGTTATAAGGGCGAAAGGGTGCAAATTCTGGCTACATTGATCAGGAATAGAATATGAGAGGTAGACCTCCTTGAGGGTTTCAAAAAGGGGAGCAGGTTCCTCAAATTCTGATCCTCTTGGAGTTCTAGAACTCTGGATAAATTAAGGTTCCACGTAAGGCTAGCATAGTCTGTGCAAAGGCAAGAAGAGATCACAGCCTCATGGTTTTGTGAAAGTCTAAAAATACAAGGAAAGGAAAGAGCCTGAGGTCTTTCACCCAACCAAAAATCAGTCCAAAAGATTATATGACTCCCATCCCCTACACCATATCTGATGAAAGGAACAAAGGAGCTATAAGTAGATATGATGCATTTCCAAGGATTGGTAGATCTTACCCGGTTCAAGTGAAGTTTATTATCCTATCCATTTGCATCACTCCCATATTTGCTTCGAGTAACTGAGGCCCATAGTGCATTGGATTCAATCAGGTACTTCCAGAGTCATTACCAAGAAGAACCATGTTCTATTGAGAGATGACTATGAATTGTTTAGTTTGAAACCATTTTATTGGTTGCTTCACGTTCTGCTATTTCTTATTTACTGTTATGAATTATGACATTGACATCTTCCTAGGATATGGGCAAGGTATGACCCCACAGAACTAATCTCATTCTGTTTTATTATTAAAAGAAACCTCTGATTAGATGAACTCTTCTTGCTTAGAAAATTGTCTGACTAGGGATGCATGTAATTGGCTTGTCTAAGTTGGTAATAGATATTCTAAGAACAGTTTTGAATTTCCAGTCTGACTCGAAGATTTTGAGCAACAATTGTTTGCCTAAAGTTTCTCTTCTTGCAGTTTCTTTTTGTACATTACTTTTAAACTGTTGCATTTAATATTATTTGCACTATTTTTATTTTCAATTTGTATTTAATATTTCAGCAGTGTAATAATGTTCTCTGCTACAGAAATTGGTTGAGGATGAAAAGGAACAGGTCAAAGGGTTCAGATCGGAGTCAACAGTTCCTTTCAGAGAAAGGCTAAAAATCATGGCAAATGTTGTTAATCCAGAGGATCTTCACCTGAGCTCTGCTGAAAGGAAGCTCATGACTGCCTATAATGAAAAGCCTGTACTTTCACGTCCACAACACGATTTCTATAGGGTAAATAACATTTTCCTTCTGTTCTTTCCTGCTTTTTCTATTGCAAGTTTAATAGAAAAAAAAAAAAACAGAGAAGTATTCTTTCATTTTTTTTTTTGAAATCTCTAGCACTCGAGACATTACAATTCTTGTTTTGGCATTACAAAAGTGAGGAACTCAAGATAAAATGCATTGGGCCTAGACTTAATTAGTCAGAACCTAACTCAGGTCAAACTTCAAGTTTTCTGATAACATTTTAGTCCTGGAAAACTTGAAGCTGTTAATTCCTTGTTATCTGGACCTCTGAAATTCTTTTTCAAGACTATAATTCAGCTTCTGCAATTAATTAATCCGTAACATGTGCCATATTTCATGCAGGGTCCTAATTACTTTGAGATAGACCTGGATATACACCGCTTCAGTTATATATCAAGGAAGGGACTTGAATCATTCAGAGATCGTTTGAAACACGGAATTGTTGATCTCGGCTTAACAATCCAAGTACAATTTTTTTTTTAAATTTTATCAAGCCTTTTATTTGCTTCTTCTTCTTCTGATTAACAAGTTCCACTATGATGAACAACTAAGCCCAAATTAAGAAGAGTTTTACTCAAGGAACAAAGATACAGTGGATACCAACACCTTGGGTATTGGCTTATAGATACAGAGCAATACTCTATTTTTTTTTTTCTAATTTTAACAGCCTGAGAGGAATGCCTTCCATCATCCCAAACTTTGAAAAACCCCAAACCCCTTTCATATCGGTGTATTCATGCATCTCCATAACCACTGACATGGATGCACATATCGATATTTTGATCCTTGGTTTTACTAAAGCAGATAAGTAGTTGAACTGACATTTAGGAAAGTATTTATTCATGAATGGTAATTACACACATTACACACATACACTCCAAGCCAGTTTCAACTACAAATTAATCAATACATAATTGCATCTCTTTTATTTTTACATTTGGTAAAACTAGGCATATGATAGTCATACTTTACAAACTTTTGCATCTCAATTTCCAATTTCTGTTGGGGTCTAGAAGAACCCTTTCACTGTATAAACTTAACTAGATAATTGATCCTTCCTGCTAGTATGCAATTCCTTAAGCAGTCAAATGTGACTTTTCTTAATTGTTCATTAACTATTATTGAATACTATTGCAGGCACAGAAGCCTGAGGAACTGCCAGAGGAAGTCCTATGCTGTATGAGATTGAACAAGATTGATTTTGTAAATCACGGCCAAATACCAACGATCATGACGATTGCCGATGAATGATTTGTATAGGAAAATGCGGGATCTTGTGCTAGAAGCCATTAATTACCATGGATGGACAGATCAACATGTCCATCCGTATCGGGATCTTGTAGCATTTCGCCTCTTGTTTCCAACCTACTTTAATGAGAGAGAAAAAAAAAATCATTTTATTGTTTTACTAGAGAAAAGACGTTGCTTCTTGATTCGATAATCATATATAAGCTTCTATCTGCACTACTACCATAATTATAACAAACCATTCCATGCCCTCACTGGATCAACTTATCTTTTGATATTATAAAAAGAAAAAAAGAACCAAGTTGGAGGATGGTTGGTTGTCTGAAAGGAGTTCAAATCAGCCCCTACAAGGTAGTTTCCCACAACATCCCAGCATATCCCCACTGTGTATTGAGAATATCTCCCGATGATAATATAAAAAATGATGAGGCATCATCAAGAGATGTTCCCACGGCGGGGATGTGCGGACATTGTGGGAAACTATCTTGTGGGGGGCTGATTTCAAGTTTTCAACTAGTCTGAAGGGTGTCTATCTGATCAATATCTTCCCTGCCACATTAACGGACCATCCTGTCTATACGGTTTGGGGCTTCTGTCGCATCATTCTAGCCATCAAAAATATGTTTGAACTTTGAACTTTTCGGTTTGGTTGAGTGACAAAATTTGGCCACCTTCTCATTTCTCCTCTTCATCAACACCACCATCATCAGTTGTGATCTCCTCCCAACAAAAACTGTCCTAACACGGTTCCACCATAAGACTGGGATTCATCATGCATAAGCACTACCACCACTATTAAAGCAAGGGTAAAATACTTAAAACATATCCTAAGTTTTTATAAATTGGTTTAAATATATCTTGAGTATTTCAAATAGACTTAAATATACCTTGTGGGTTTTCAAAATCGGACTGGACCGGACGATCAGATCGGAAAAACTTGGAATCAGTTCTGTTTTACCCCAGAACCATCACTTTGGCCAAAAACCGTTAATTCGGTCAGCAAACCACTCACTCGGGTGGTTAAACCGTTCAAACCATTTGAACCGCAATGATTTTTGTCTGTTATTTTATCTTTTTTTTTCTATTTTTACTTTTTTTATCAGAAAGGGCTGTCTGTTCGGTTTGAATGATCAGACCATTTGACCCAGGAACCGGACAACGAACCATTCATGGTCCGATTCGGTTTTAAAAACTTTGCCTCTATGACTCTATCAATAAAGCGTTAAACCTATTTAATTTTTTTAAAAATCATGTTTTGTCCTTCTATGTCTTGTTAATAGTCGATTGCCTGATAACTGATAAGTGATAACATGTGTAAACTGATTTGGGTTGGAAGAAAACGGCTGGCACCCACCTGTTTCCAAATGGCTGAATGCCTGAATGGGACTTAGATTAAGCACCAAGTTGTAATAACTTGAAATGGAATTCCTGGAAGGCGCTTGAAGGGAGGCCGGATTTTCAACCCACAACAACTCTGCCCACACCTACCTATATAATATCTAGTTATACATGGAGAATATTTCATCATCTTACATGTTATTATGCATAGAAAGATATTTTTAAATTCCAATGCATGGAGGTAGTGTTTTATGGGCAGGTATAAATAAAGTTCTTGTAGACAGGAGATCCAGAATCCGGAATCGCTTGAAGGGTTTTGAGGGAAATGGAGTGACTGACCAGGAAGGAGAGTAATTGTTGGGTTATTAGAGCTCTCTCAAAGCATTTGATCTTCCAGCCCAGAAGAAACTCAAGATATTTTTTGATAGAAGTTCTTCTTTAGTGATATTTCATTACATACCAAGAAAAACCAAAAATACAAGGATAAAATCACACAACCAACTCACATGACAACATGCAAAAGTCATTTTATTCCGGAGGAATTGATGATGACCTGATAAAAATTGTAAATAGTAGTTAACTGGGGATGTTCATGGAATGGAACCTCTGTTCTGTAACTTTTGGTCCCATCTTAGTGGCTGTGAGAAGCAGCAAGGCAATGAAGAGAGATGAAAACAGACGCATACTGCGCTCCATTGAGGCTAGCTAATACGACCGAGATATCTTGTCTAGGTCAAATTGGGTTAAACCCAGCTTAGCTATTCTACCCGAAAACCACCATTTAACATTGTCAAAATGAGACAAAAGCCAATGTGGGTACAAAATTCAAGAGAAAAAACAGCAAAAAATTAATTAAGAAGGGAACTGGGGAGAAATTCAACAAACAAAGCACTCAAATTACAGATTTATAATCGAACTTAATGTGCTTAGAAAGAACAAAAATCAATTAAAACTCCTATATGGTGCCATTTGATACCGAGATGTGATTTACACAAAATGAAAGAACTATTACAGAGATGTTGTAAAATTCTCTCAATACCTAAACAAAAAGGTGAACAAAAAATAGAAATAAGTCAGAATATCTTAATTCAGGAGAAAAACAGTAAACATATTTAATTAAGAAGAATAAAAAGAAAATCTCATAGAATTTCTTAAAGGTGCATAACCTGGTAGGAGCTCTGAATTTGGAGGAATTGGTTATGGCATTGGGTGAAGGAAAGACGGTCATAGGTGAACAAGAGATCTTTGTTTGCAGCCAAATCAATGGGCTCTTTTTCCTCCAACCCCTTTGGTGGCCCAAGACTGCAACGATCTATTCTTCGCCAGTGCATCCTCGAATTTGTTGATCTGTGAGAGCAGAAAGTTTTCTCAGGTTCCATAAATGTTTTGAAGGAAAATAACCTCAACATGCATCTAAATCTAAATAAAGACATATAAATGGATATTGAAAATAGATTTGATCCTCACAAGACCGCACCGTCCCCCAGTCCCTTGCAACCGTGCATTGGGATTTGGGAATATCTGCCCATGAAAATAAATATACAACTATGAACATGTTCCCAATGCACAGATGTGAAATGCTGTGAAAATGGTTATGTGAAAACTGAATCCAAAATCTGGATATTGTCCCAATTGGATTATGGAAAATATTAAATAACATGAACATGCATGAATTACATTGCTAAGGTAAAATTGTCTTTTTTACTTAAACCGGTTAATGGCGAGATGATATATTTAATTCCACTAGAAAAAAATTAGGGTATATTTAAGTCAATTTATGAAAGTTTAAGGTATATTTACGGTTTTACCCTTAAAGCCATTTGGTTCTATTTGGTAGGGAATTTGCTGGTTAAAGGCTGGACAAAGGCTGTTTTAAATTTTATCAAGGTTTGAACTTTAAAGAATTGGATAGGCAATTTTAAGAGGCTCATATGGATTTTTTTTGGATATACATAGATAAAGTGGGCTTTGGTGCAACAGTTGGGTTGTTCAATTGTGACCCTGGGAAACCAAGGTTCAAATTGTGACCTAAGCAAATTGCTTCTTGTTTATTAGATTAATGAGGAGATGAGAGAAAATAAAATAAAAAATGAAAAGTAAAAAGAGTAAATGATTTTTAAGCAAATTTTTGGAGTAATTGAGAGGAGAAAGAATTAGTGGAGTGAGTTATTGGAAGAGGGACAAGGTGCCAAGTTGCCAACTAGTTGGTTGGTAAGGTCTCCTAGTTGTAGCGGAGACTTGGGATCAAATCCCGCCTGCACCTGGTTTGGGGGATGGGCTACCCCCGTTTGTGTAGCCCTTGAAAAAAAAGTTATTGGAAGAGAGTTAATGAAATGATTAATGAGGAGAGATAATTAAAGGAGTTAGTGAAGAAGAGAAGAGAAAGAGTTAATGATGAATTAATGAAGAGCGATAAGGTCTTAAAGACTTAAAATTGATTAGCTATTTGAGTAATTTTGTTTAGTTTTAAAAAAAATAAAAAAAAACACAAATTAGGTAAATGGTAAAGAAGAAAGGAAAGACGTGCTGACATGGCATGTCTTATTTTATTATATATATAGATACTTAGGGAAACTAGATACACTTTAATAAGTAAATTAACAAAGTGGGGCCAATAGAATAATAATTGTATAGAAATGATATCAAATATAAAATTCATCATCATCATTTAAGCCTTATACCAATTATATGGGGTTACTGCATGAATCCTGTTTGGCCATTCCCGCTTAATGCCATATCATTATTAACTTGAGTTCTTTAATAATTTCTTACTGTTTCAACCTAGGGATGCAAATGGATCAGATCATATTCCAGTCAAGATATATACAAATTCAATATGATAATAGAAATTATGGATCTGATTTGATCTGAAGATCCAATTAGATCTCGCAAACAGTGATTTGAATCTGAATCTATTAAGAATGTTGGATATCCGAATATGAACTGATTTGATTTCATTGCCCTTGAATTTTGATTGGCCAAGTTCCTGTTCTCTGTATATCCTTTTTTTTGTCATATAATATAACTTCTTGTTATTCTCCTTAAAAAATGATTTCATTTCTGAAAATTTTAATAAATCATTATCTTTTATAGAAAATGACAAAATTGCAATATAAACACACATACACACACACACACACACACACACATATATATATATATATATATATATATATATATATGTGTGTGTATGAACTGATTTAATTTCATTGCCCTTGAATTTTGATTGGCCAAGTTCCTGTTCTCTGTACATCCTTTTTTTTTGTCATATAATATAACTTCTTGTTATTCTCCTTAAAAAATGATTTCATTTCTGAAAACTTTAATAAATCATTATCTTTTATAAAAAGAATGACAAAATTGCAATATAAACACACACACACACATATATTATCCAAAAGTGGAGATCATATTATTCAAAAGAGGGGGTTGAGGAGATCATATTATCCAAAAGAGGGGGTTGAGGAGATCATATTATCCAAAAGAGGGGTAACTGAATAGTATTCATTTGCACCCCTACTTTGACCTATGTCCTTTTTGGTCTGCCCCAAGCCTTTCTAGCCTTGTCAATTTGCAACCGTAACTGTTTTATAGAACTTTTCTTTACGCTTAACTGATATTCATGTTTAAGTTATCACTTAAGACCCAAGATGCACCCTTCCATTTTGTCCATCCTGCTCTAATCCTATCGAAGACATCTTCAAAAATCTCTTGTTATGAATAATCAAACCAAGGTACCTCCTCAATCTCTTGTTATGAATAATCAAACCACGGCACCTTCCATTAGCTTCATCAATTAAAATAATATCAAAGAAAACTTGCTATGACACCTCCTCCAAACTATGTTTAATCAATTAATTATGCAAATAAATTAGAACAAAGTGCTGATGTTTAATCAATTAATTATGCAAATAAATTAGAACAAAGTGCTGAGCTTTGGTGAGCACCCATTGCAACCGTAAAATCTAATTCCTCCCTCACAGGTGTAATACCTGACTTCAAAATTCCAATTTCCGAATTATGGCGTGGTTAGTTGTTTCTCTTCCTTCAATCCGCAATTGTCTAATTTTAAAATTCGGTACCTAAACTGCCATGGTAACAAAAGTCATAAAGGACTTCCAGTAGGCTTTCCACGGAACCCTTTCAATCCAAACTGAAAACACACAACACCTCCCTATTCAACTACAAATTGAAGGCTGCAAAAGCAGCTGTTGCAATTTACAAAATTTGACACCCTTAAACATGTGACTTGAAAAATTGAACTCCTTCCCTCTCATTTGGCACAATTTTGACAATTTAATCTTGGATAACACTGTAAACAAGAATGCTTGACATTTTAAGCCACGGACATATACAACACTCTGGTCATGGGAAAGAGTTAACTATCAAAATATATACAAAAGTGGAGCTTTGTCTCTTAGAAGGACTTAATCAACACTTAATTGCTTGTATACACTGAAAATCGTGACATAAATGGATTCCTTGAACTCAAACATAGCTCAGCTTCCGTTAAAGAAGTATTGGATGAGTATTTGCTGACCAACATCTACTTTCTTCTTTCTGCAGAATACTAATCTTCTAGCCAAGTTGTTGAACCAGCCAACTCCAGCCCTCTTATCCAAGATCACCTTGGGAAATATGATCGATATAGATCAACTTCTTGGGCTACTAAAAACCGAGGAGTGCCCGTCAATGTGGCAATTGTCCCACTTTACTGTTGGCACACTGACAGGATTTCTGAAGATGCAATGACTAGCACCTTGTAAATTCTTGATCTTTGGAGGACAAGACTTCACATATCTTGAATATCTTATGATCAAGAGGAGGCTACTCTTTGAACTAGAAGACATACCAGATGGCTATTTTTCACGTCTTTTCCCTGCCATGGTAGAGTCACCGTATCAGTATCAATGTAGCTTGGATTGGCATCTAGCATAAAGCTGAGCGCGCAGGAACATCCTACAGCTAATGTTGGCCCATTCAAGTATTTACTTGATAAAAGATGTAAATCACTGCTAGAGTAGCTGGTCATACTTCCGATTTTTTTAATATAAAGTTGTACATGAAGGAGGGCCTATTTTAAGTAAATAAATACATGGAAAAATCCTTTGGGCTGAAATTCATTCTGTGAATAATACACATGGAGATGAATACAGAGACTCTTTTAAGCTTCAAGATAGGTTGCCACATGGAAGATCCTAGGTCATTTGGGGAAGCTCAGTAAGCAATCCAAATAGTAAAATCACTTCTTTCCACCATATTAACAGCATTAATTTTGGTGTTTATCTTGGCATTGGAGGATGTCTTTGGGATTTGGATAGTCCAGATGAAGTAGACACACCACTTTGGCGGTCAAATGTTTGTACCACAAGAGCAATTGCAAGGCATCTTTTGCTAGGTTTCTTCATAGATGAAATTATGCATCATAAGATATCTATGATTTTAGAACTGATCAAGAAATGGAACTGCTTTTCAGTCTGGTTGACAGGTCAGCAGTTCAATTATGGGGTCAAATGGGTCAACCCATGACATCATAAATTGAACAAAAAAATATAAAAATAGATAAAAATATAGAAAGTTATAGAAAATATGCAGAAAAAAAGTTCAACACTTGGCCCTTATTTATTTGCATTGGTCATAGATTAATTGACTAAACATATTCAGGAGGAGGTCCAAGGTGCTTGTTTGCTGATGACATTGTTTTAGTTAATGAAACTAACTAAGGATTAAATGCAAAATTAATTTTATGGATGAATACCTTAAAAACAGGAGGTTTTAAAATAAGTAGGATTAACACAGAATATATACAATGTAAATTTAATAGTAAGGAGTGCAAATCAGGGTACATTTAGGATTGGAGAACAAGAAATAGCTTAATGTGGCCTTTTCCAGTACCTTGGTTTGATAATCCATAGCAAGGGAGAGATTGAGGAGGATGTTGCTCATAGAAATAGAGCAGGATGGGAAAAATAGAGGGGTGCATCTGGAGTCTCATGTTATAGGTGAATGCCACTTGAATTAAAAGGAAAGGCTCTATAAAGCAGTTGTAAAGACCAGAAATGTTGTATGGAGCAGAATGTTGGGCAGTCAAGAAGCAAGAACCAACATGTCAAAAAAAAGTGTGGTGGAAATGCATATGCTAAAATGGATGAATAGAAAAAACTAGAAATGATAGGGTCAGATGGGGTCATTTGAAGAACCTAGGAGTAGTTCTAATATGTGATAAAATGAAAGAAATTAGACTTATATGGTTTGTTCATGTGCATAGAAGACCACCTACAGCACCCATAAGAAAAGGCAATCAGTTACAAGTTGAAGGGGCTAGAAGGACTAGGGGCAGACCAAAAAGGAAATGAGCCAAAAGTAGTAACAATTGGCTTAAACACTTAATATAACAATGGACATGACATCTAACAGAATGGAATGGTGAAACAGGATTAATGTAGCCAACCCCATATAGTTGGGGGAAGGGATAATGATGATGATCTCTAATATTATATATTTATCATATTAAACAAAATTAAGTGTGATAAATGAGAATTATGATAATGTAAATTGTAGGGGGGTATTGTACTTCTTATTGGGTGTATGTACACTTGTACCTATAATCCAGTTTATTAATAAAATTTCAGTTATCGATAAAACAAACAAGAATGATGATGGAAATGGCTAAAAATATAAAAACAAAAACGAAAAACAGAATAAATGTCTAACTTTGACCCACTGATTGGGTCAAATGGTTTATTGAGTCAACCAGATGGGTCACCGGATTGTTGACTGAACCAACATCTTCTTGCAAGATTCATTGAAGAAAATATGGCAATAGTCGCACAACATTGTTCACCTTAGGTTTTTTTATCCAGAATACAATATATGTGGGCATAAGAAGATGATGCCCACAGGTTCATCAGCATCTTATTATTGCTCTGGACCAAACCCCTTCAAGATTGGGAAAAAAGTTTGACTGTAGAATGAAGGAGGTTGCACACCAAAGGGAAAAAGGAAGTGGATAAGATATACTAGAAAAACCCAGACTAGTTTAGGCGTCATTACTTTAGAAAATCAAAATGGAGTTTTTCCTACCTCTTTGGATCCATGACCTGCGGACTGCTTGACGTATATGACGTTCATGCCTCTCCAAGAGTTCATCAACTCTATTTGACTGAGACAATATTGGTCCTGAAAACTCAACTCTATCTTCTTGATCCTGAAAACACCGAGCAATTCATAAATTGAATAAGAATATAACTGAAATCTAATGAAGATTGAAAAAGGGACTCGTTCAATATTTTCATAGGAATGCCACTTAGTTGATCAAATCTCACCCATTTTACTAAAATTTTGAAAAGAACGAATGGACTTGATTTTATATAAAATTTGGGATTGAAATTAGTGGTTGAAGGCCAACCTAGTTGACTTGACACCTCAAGTTCTAAAAGATCGATGTGTTTCAAACGTTCAATTGACAATCCTATTGATTTTGTATCCTCACCAGCTTGTTTTTATTGGTTGCTGTTTCCTTTCCTTCATTAAGAGGCATTGATAGCTCTTGATAATGGTATACATCAGCTACATTAAAAGAACCTCGATACTGGCTCCATTGTCTTAGGATTGCACATTTAGCAATATCATATGAATGCCCTCTGGAATCAACTTGAGCCCCATATAAAATATCCCCACTTTCTCCCCCTTTTAAGTTTTTATTATTTCTTTCTTGCAAGAGAATTGGTGGAATTACTGCATTAGAAACTTGACCCATTGAATTGCACCTATTACATAATCTTCCGGATGCTGCAATCTCCTTTTGCCTTTTTGCAAATGCAAAGCTACTGAATTCTATGACATGCAGTGGGCCTGAGAAAGGAATATTCCCTTGAGATGCATTCTTCATGAGGGAAGCCTTTGAATTGGTATTATTTGACGGCTTCAGTACTTCTCCACATAATCTAGCGTCTTTGTCTTCCTTGGAAGCATGTGCATGAGAACCAGTAATTTTATAGGAACCTTTGTTTTCTTGCAATTCCTGCAGAGAGGAAAAAAATTAATAAGATTGAGAGTTCTAGAGTTATATAGTTTAGAGAGAGAGGAGAGAGAAAGAGAGACCTCTTTTGGTTCAACATTACTGATCCTACTTGGTTCTTCCAAAGCTTTACATACTTTCATTGGTCTTCCTTTTGCTTCAGGCCTAACTACTCTTCCACCAGCCCTTTTCCTGAAAGCATTGCAGTGACCCAATGCTATTAGTATTGGAGCCATATTGATGTTCTAACTAACCTTTCAAGTAGATAACATGGTTCATGAGATTGAACTTGGTTTAATCTTTATAAAAATGTTAATTTTCTGACTTCAAGAATGGTTTTGTACTTGACAGGGTTCATCAAATTAAAGAAAATGAAATTATGTAGGTCACTGACCCTATTGGCTCCTTTTGCTACTTGCCCAGAATTAACTCAAAAACTCCAATACAATGGTTGCAGGTTTTAGTTTTATGAATTAAAAAATCATGTAAAATGTTTGAATTAACTAATGGATATTAATCCAAAATCTGTAGAACCAATCAAGATGAGTGGGTAAGGTTTGACTTGTTCAGCCTTATTTCTGAACTTTTCCTACTTTGTAATTCTAGATGAAGAGAGGATACAAACCAGTGCAGTTAAGAAAGTGCTCACCTTTGTGCCTCTTCACGACATCTTACATCCATCTCTTTGTTAGGTGGGTACTTTGGTAAAGTTGAAGGGTCACATGCATAAGGCTTTGTTGTAAAATACTGAGGATGGAAAAGGAAGGTTGAATCAGAATAGCAGTTTTGCTCTGGTAAGAAAACATTTGTGGTAGAGATAAATGCTGTGACTAAAGTTATCAACTACATAACAAGGTTTTTTATTGCACCAAAATCTCTTCTTATTTCAGTTTCATCAATTTCACAATGTTCATTTCAGACAATGTATGTAAATAGTCTATTATATGTTTTCATGATAAACGTGAAATATTTTCTTTGTGGAAATTAGGAAACCTCTACTTCATTTGGCAATTGAAAAGCCAAAGCTTTTGGTAATTTAGAATCATAAATGTAGTTGGATCATTATGTGCCCAAAATCTGAATATAGCATGGTGTCAGAGATGATCGAATTCCAGCAATGGAGTACCCTTGCTACACAAGGCCAAGTGAAAATATGTAAGATTTGAGCAATAGTCATAATATGATCCATAATTGGATAGGTAGGATTGTTGGATCTCTGCAACTTCTTGGTTACCCCTCCAGGTTGTGGTCTACAATTGGTTTGCCAGAATGATGGGCATATGTGTCACATACAATGCAAGAAACTAATTAAGGAGATTTTTCATAATGAATAATAAAATCCCACATGTCAAAATCACATAGACGACAACCACTTATGCAGTAGAATTGCAATCTTTGTGAATAAAGATAAATTTGAGCATGCTGAAAAAATGTTTCTCCAGATAAATTTGAGAATAAGTAATTTATTTAGGATAAAAAACTTTCTGCATGAGTTACCTCAGATACAAGAGCAGATGAAGCAGTCCCACGTTTATGTGGTTCTAAAGAAAGAAAAGTTTCTATAAGATCCACAGCAGTTGCAGGGAGTTCTTTACAGGTCTCCCGAAGACAACTCCCATAAGGATGCTGGGGTTTGAACATAGTTCTATGAGGAACTTTGGAATTCTTCCAATACTCATCAGGTGGGGAGCCACAAAGCTTGAAGATTTTATGTAATTGTTCAACCTATACATGGTGCAAAAATGTTTACCCTTAGGACTTTAACCAGCAAAGAGATGAAACTGTGAAAGAAAAAATAGCTGGCAACTCTCAACATACGGAATATGTACTTTAATGTAGTTATGAATGTAACCATATGTAATTTATTTCCTGACATTGGTATATATGATTTTTCATTTCCACATAAACAAAACTGAACAAGAAAAAAAAGAACAGTATAAAATAAAAATAAGAATATTAGAAAACAGAGCTTTCTCCTGCAGTGTATGGACCAATAGATATATGTAAGAGACACGACACATTAGATATCTTTGCAAGAGAAATCAAATGAACAAAATGATAGTTTAATATTAACTTTAGATATATTTCTGGTTGCTTATGAAAGTCTATACACTGAAGTAGATAAATGATGGTCACATTCTTTTTAGAGAGGGTAAATTGAATAATATCCATATTCAGTGCTTTACAATGTCAAGGTGTCATACGAGGCATTCCACTACCTGGAGGCGTGAGTCATGGTTCAGAACACAAGAGGCATAAGCCACCTGAGCACAAGGAAGCATAAACTTCCTAAACAGGAGGAGGAGCACTAGCTGAAACTTTCTTTCCTTTGCTTTTCTTTTTTTCTTCTCTTTCTTTCTTTTTCCTTTTCCCTTTCCTTTCCCTTCCTTTTTTTTCCTTTTCCTTTTCCTTTTCTTTTCTTTTATTTCTTTTTTTTTGTATGACGCACATAAGCCATGCACCTCAGAGGCACCAACGCCTCCAGCATGCACCTCAGGGAGTTTTGGGGGCGCCTCATGCCTCAAGGCACACCTCCCAGGTGCACGTCTTCCACACCTTTTTAAAACATTGATCCATATAAGGAAATATAGGTTCCTTCAGAAAGGTCTATAAGGACATTCAACAGACAATGAGTGGCATAGTTTTGGGGAAGCAAGGGAATAAGATAATTTCAAAAATTGCTTAATAGGACCTTAGGTTTCCTATTTTATATTTAATCCATTTCTTCTAAGTTGATTGCTTTACTATGGACACCTCTGAAATGGTTAGGTTTTATTCTCTAATACTAATTGAATTACCTTCTTATTATTCCTATATTCTCTCCTTCCATTAGCATAATTGAATGCCATTATATGACAAAATATCATTAGGATTTACATGGAAAGGGCCAAGATATATCCTTTAAGAAAATGCCATACAGTGATTTTACCTCTGTTCTTCCCTGAAGGATTGGCTTCCCAAGGAAAAGTTCTGCAAATACACAACCAACACTCCATAGATCCACAGAAGCTCTATAATCTGTAGAGCCCAGTAAAAGTTCTGGAGGACGGTACCAAAGAGTCACAACCCGACTCGTTAGTGGTTGCTTGTGTCCAGGACTGAAGTAGTTTGCAAGGCCAAAATCAGCAATCTTCAAAATTCCCTCATTATTAACTAAAATATTGGATCCTTTTATGTCCCGATGCATGACATTACATGAGTGACAATGCTCCAGTCCAGACAATAACTGGTGCATATAGCACTTAACCTGCACAATATATTACCCATTAAATTTTCTATGCAAAATAATAGAAAGTGTATGATAAACTCCAGGTTCATTGTATTGCACAATCCCAATGTCAGAAGCATACACATGGTGGATGTAGTCACTCGTTAAGCCCAAATCTATTGATGGTCTACTTTTGGACACTCTGAGATGATCTTAGCCATCTAATAAAATAGTCTGTAGTTTGAAAATTTTGAGAATTATGGATGACTTAAAAGTTCATAAATCAACTTGGATAGTAAGGGAAAAACAAAGCTGGAATAGCTTGGTTAGGGGTTCAAGCCCTCTAATGTTGTTAGTGTCAATTACAAAAGCTTTGATGGTAAGGAATATTGATTTAGTATTGATATTTTCAAAGAAAAAGGGTATCCTCTAGACACTGGGATAAAAACCTATAGATTGTTTGAAACTTGTATGAAAATGTGGAGATACTGTGATATACTGAACCTGGGACTAACACACCATTACTCTTTAGAGCAAATATTATTTATGTACTTCTACAAAGATAATTCAAAAACAAATATCAACAAACCTGTGCCTCGCTGAGTTTGATGTTTGGACAGGATGCAAGTCCAGCAAGATCATGCTCCATATACTCAAAAACAAGGTATATACTGCATGACATTCGAGAGGTTATTAACCCCTCCAATTTCATGATATTTGGATGGTCAAGCCTGCGGAGAATCAATATTTCCCGTGCCATAAATCTAACACTCTCAGGATCAAAATTGTCAAACCGCACTTTTTTCAGTGCAACTATCCTCCCAGTGTCTAGTTCACGTGCTCGAAACACACTGCTATATGTACCTTGTCCAATCTACAAATAATGCCATTATAAAAGAATAAGATTCTAGTCAGAAAATACTTATTTTTCATTCAAAATGTGGACATTCTAATACAACTACTTTCTGTTACAAGACCTTAGGTAAGCATGATTACAAAGATAACAGACTAAAATTATCATTGACAATTTGACATAAAAAGTAATGACATCTCTGGGGCACAATGGCCTTAACAAAAGCAGCACACCACATGCATGAAACAAAATTGAACCACTAATGGAAGCTTTTAATGTTATATAAAGCATAAAAACCAATTATGGTCTGCTTCTAAGCCATAGAGGCAATTCACATTTTGAATCTCAAGGTTAACTTTTGCAAACCACTTAAACAAATTGCTAATGAATTAACCTGGGAAAGTCCCTAGAAAGGAAAGTAATGGCTAATGCAAAAAGTTGGTTAAAACATCTATAAGGAACCCAGAATGTATTAAACTTGGATGAACAAGAAAACTAGAACAATTCATTCTTGCTGAGTAAGAGCAATTATATATGGAGATGGTATGCTCTCATGGGGCTTTGCAATGGTTGGTAAATAAGATATATCAGATAAATAGGGACATTCATAGATAGAAATATTATATCATTCCATTAACTTCTTGTAATTATTATATTACATCAAGCTAAGCTTACTAAGTTCACACAAAATAAATAATATATACTATCTTCTTCTACTAAAGTGTAGATACGAATACAGAAGAGAGTTATACCTATTAAAATTCTGCTGTCATTGACAAGATTAACAGCTCTGATGATTGCAGTTTGATCACTTATGTTAAAGAAATGGAAGTGAAAAACTATAATGCTGAAACACCTATGCAACTCTCTTGCATATTAAAGTACAAGAAATACAGATGACGAAAAAATAGAGGAAGAAAAATAATTGAAGGATATCTTGCAGGTGAAACGGATAATCATTATTATAGTTAAAATTTCAAAAGCCAGGGGCAATATCCTTCAATACTTTTTCTTTATTCCCTATTTTCCTTATTTTTTTAGGGAAACATTGCCATTTATTTCTTAACAAATAAGAACAGGGGAAATGAAGAAGTAAAGGCTTGATCAATGTAACTGCATTTAGAAGTATTCCAGCCATAGATAAAAGAAAACTAAATACAAGCTAAGGTGTCAAATATGGATTCTCCACTACCTTCTCCATTTTCTCAAAAGAGTCAGCTCTGAGAGGCACCCATCCTTGGATGGCTTCGCCCGCAACGGCGCTCAGCCAAGGAGGCCACCCGGCAGCAACTTGCTCTCCTTGGATATATTTCTGCATATTCCCCACTCTCAGGGTGAAGGAATCCTCACCACTGGGGCTCCCCCCGTTGGACTCCCCCAATCCGGTACTATCATCTCCCGACTCGGCCTTATTCTTTTTCTTCTTCTCCAATTCCACCAACCTGGCAGGCGTCACAGAGACGGCCTGCTTCGACGTAATGCAACCCATTAAGCGGCGAAACCAGAGGACATCGATCGAATTGGAGAAAAACCCAGAAAGGCCGAGGTCGGGAAACGGACCGGAGATGGGGAATTACCCCGAATTAGTTCAAATAGGAGTTGCAGAACATGGAGGAGAGATCGGCGGGTGGCCTAAACCCTAAAGTAAAACGGATTCCTTTGAGGAAGGGGATATAAACTGCTGCTGGGAGGATTGGTAATCCGCGGAAATTGCGCGGAACGGATGATTGATAGCATTAAGAGAGTTGGGAGGATTGGTAACAAAAAGACCCGAAATCAACGCGTGGAAATTTGTGGGTTCCGAATGCCAAAACCCTCTACCCAACAAACAAACAAAAAGTTGGAGGGCGAAATGTAGCGGTGTAGCCGTTGGACCTTGTTCGTTTCTATTTTATCTTTTTTTGCCCCGATTTTTTATGTCGCTTCATCTTATCACTAATCACTCTCATATTTGTTTCTGCAATGATTTGATTCCATTGTTTGCAACTGCAAATACAACAACAAATTTGTTCTTCTCTTCTTCTTTCTACTACTATGCCAAGAATAAGTTTGCTTGAAATTCATTATTTTATAATATTGCTAATATATTTCTTCGGCTTGTTACTACCGACTGCACTGAGCATGAAGCTGGCGAGGATAAAGAGCAACAAAAAGCAAGGAAGAGAAGCCAAGTCATGGAAGATTAACAGCAAAAGCTGACAAAAGAAAAAGCAGGGAGAAGAGAAAGATAAAAGATAAAGATAGGGTAAATTCATCGAATTCCATTGTTCTTTTCCTCTCTCTCTGATCAGTTGTGCAATGAATCATCCAACAGTAGCTGCACTTAACTACTGCTTCTTGGAGCTTTCCATCGAGGAGGCGTATTCCACTCCAGAGTCCGCAGCATCACCAAGCAACCAGCTACCTAGCTATGGTCGAAAAGGAATTGGAATCTGGTTCTGAGCGTGCCTCACACCGACGGAACGGAATCTGCTCCTCACACGCACATCCTACCATGCATTGGGTACATCTCCCATATTTATAAGTTATTATTAACGGGAGATGTTCCTAATGCATAGTAGGATGTGCATGTGAAGCGCCCATTTGTGAAGAGCAGATCCCAAATAATAGAGGCAAATTTCTTGGATAAGTAGATTGCACTCCATCTCAAAATTTTGGATACTTAAAACAATTCAAAATTATAAACACCCATACCCGCATGTAAATTGGCATCAATTTCGAGCACATACCCCCAATTTTATGGTGGAGCAAGGATTTATGACGGTGGAATGAATAGTAAAATCCTAATTTTTTTAAATTATCTCTATTGTTTAGTTAATTAGTTAATTGACAAATTATACCCTTATTGTTTAAATATTGTCTTAAACTATTCTTATTGTTTTTAACAATCGACTAGCTCTACCTCTATCATTAGTGTCCATTAATGTTCCATCAAAAGCCATATACATGTGACACCACATGACATAAAATTTTTAAAAAATCCATTATTACCCCTTGTCCCTCTTCTATAAGTCGAGTAAGAATCTTCGTAGATAACAGGTAACTGCCATTGGTTACCGCCAGATCCAAATTTGCGTTGTAACGACGATGACGGTACAAGAAAAGGGATAGTGATAGAATGAGGAGAGGAAAATTGGGATTGAGGAGAGAGAGGCCAGAGGTGGAGGGGGTTATCACTGCCACTAGTTCACAGTCACGAGGAAGGATGTTCACAGTTAGGGGTTATCGTTGTCGCTGTCGTGCTGGGTAGTTCCAGCATATCTACCTCCAGACCGGCCTCAAGCACTATGTCAGCCCCTTCGTGTCCTTTGGTAAGATTGAACCCCACGATCCCCCCTTCCATGAGGATCTCCCCAGGTTAAACGTCCCCATTTTCAACTATACTCTGGATGAAATCTTCTTGGAAGAGGTGCAGCAGAAGGAAGGGTTGACGTGGTTGATCCACTGTCCTGGGCATATTTTGGGTTCTCTCCTTATAGCTTGATGAATGTAATTGGGATGCCCTGCATCTATGCGACCATCTGTAAGCACGAGGGTATGTATTTGAGGTTCCCAATACAATAGTTGCTTGGGAGAGATGCATCAAATGCGGATATGAACGCAGAGCATCAAATATGGACATCGGTAGATCCTTACACAAAGAACAAAGCTTTCAACTGTAGTAACGAAGATGTGTTAAAGTGGAAGCATTTGTGGAGGGTGTTGGGGGAGCAGTTCGGAGTAGAGGAATGTGAGGAATTGGAGGAGGGGTGGAATGAACTTGGAGGAGATGATGAAGGGTAAGGGTCCGGTGTGGGATGAGATTGTGAGGGAGAAGGAGTTGGTGCTAACCAAGCTGGAGGAGGTGGGATTATGGTGGCTTGTGGGTGCTATTTTTGGAGTGAAAGAGTCGTAAGTAGTTGCGACCATGTTGACTCTATTTTCTCGAAGACTGACACTTAGAAGCGACACTTCGTCCTTACGTGTCCAATTCCTTGAGAAACAGAGATCACAAAAAGTGAAAAGAATCTCCTGGTTCTTAGAATATTTTCAATCAAGTGTAGACTTTTTCTCAATAATATCAATTACCAACTTACTGTAACTCCATTGTATAATTGCTGGTTGTTTTGGGCTTTCAATAATTTTACTTGATTTTTCTTGTCATCTCAATCATTGGTTCATCTTTCTCGGAGCTTTTTGTTTTTCTACTTCTCTTTATACAAAACACCTGCATACTTCAATTCTCTATAACTATCTCTTTTAGGGTGTTGATGATATCTGGCACAAGTGACACTAATTTTTTGAGCGATTTCAGCCATTTGGAGAATAGCCAGATGACGCAGTGTGGAAGCAATGAGAACCGGAGCTGGCGATGTAAGGTGGCGAAAATAGGAAGAAGAGAACTTGAAGAAATTTTGAAAATCTGAAGTATGAATTGATGAATAACTTTGGGAAAATAGCAGTATTTATAATACATTTGGAAATTCTAAAAGAACTAGGAAAGAACATGAATCTTGATCTTGATCTTGATCCTCTTGGGCTGTCTTGATAAGGTC